GGCTCCGGCCTGGCCGAGGTCTTTCATCTGGTAGAGGAGGCCTGGCTGCTGCCGGCCGTGGGCCGAGAGGTAGCCCAGGGTCTGTGCGACGCCATCCGCCTGGACGGCGGCCTCGACCTGCTGCTGCGGCTGCTGCAGGCGACGGAGCTGGAGACTCGAGTGCAGGCTGCGCGCCTGCTGGAGCAGATCCTGGTGGCTGAGAATCGGTGAGGATGCCCGGCTGCGGGGAGGGCGCCGCGTGGTGTGGGGCGGCCAGGGCGGTGGGGGGCCTGGATCTGTCGGGTGCCTTGCACTGTGCTTGCACTGCCTTCACTGACTTACCTCGCCAAATTCCGGCTCTACATCCACGCTGGGGATCAACGTATCCATTTTACGAATAAGAAAACTGATGCTTGGGAAAGTTTAGTGACTTACACAGTGTCACACAGTGAAATAACGGTGCAGCCAGAATTCACTGCCAGGGCTAATGAGGTGAGGAATGAGACAGGGAGAGGAGGAATGGCATAGTAGGGCAGGAACTTGTCCCTGATTCTGAGGATTTATCCCTGATTCTCCCACAAGTGTGAGATAGGATCCTCTTGCCAATGCCCCCCTAAACCCACAGCCCTCCTCCCCACAGACCTGGATGCCTTTCTAGGCTACCTCCTCCCTCCTGTACCTTCTCCCTCCCACTGAGAAAGGGAGAGAACACAATGCTCAGAGAATGGGAGGAAGCCCCTTTCCTCTCTCCCCAGGCTGAAATGAGTACCGATCGATCTAAGGGCTACTTGCCCCGCTCATGCCACCCCCAATCCACCTCCTGCTTCCTTCCTTCTTCACTTTGGTCCATGTAATAAGCCAGACATGATCTCATTCTGCAGCTGGTGGTAGGGATCAGGAGGTTTTCTGCTGGGATGCATGGGTGGAGGAAGAGGAAAGTGAGGTGCGGAGCTAGGCGGGGACCAGACAGAGTGCATGGTCTTCATCCCTTCCCCACATTGTGTCAAGATACAGTAGGTGGGGTCCAACTGGGGCCTGGCTGCCGCTCTCTCGCCTGCTTCTTGGGATCTCCCCTATAGAATATGAGAACGCCTGAGTACTCACATTCTCTCTCCTTTGATGCCAGAGCAGATCAGGCTGTTTCAGTCCAGTCTCGCACTGAAGTCTCAGGCCCCTCAGGTTTAGAAGGGTCACTTTCCATTCATGCGGCTCTCACAAGTGTGATGGTCATAGGTTAGGGGTGCTTTCCTTGCCATTTTCAGAAAGTAAAAATAACTTGGTGGGTGGTGGAAATGATACAACTCTCAAAAATGCATGAATGAAGAAATTTAAATTGGGAAACCAACTTAGGGTTCTGCTTGTTCAGTGAGTCATTAATCTCGCATCTAACATCAGGTGTCCTGATGGGAGTGGACCATACATTTAGAGGTCTAGCAAACAGAGTGGGTGCTCACTGGATGTGTGGGCCCATGTTGGTGGGTGTGCCCTGTAGGTCTCGTATGTGGGGTGGGGCAGCTATAACTAGAACTCCTGGGGAGTGGGTGCAGCCAGCCCCCTAGAAAGAGAAGGGTTACAAGATGCAAATATCGCTGATATTTTGAAGGCTGACAATAGCAATTCTCACATGATTCAGAACTACTGAGAGAGGCATCACACTAACCAGTGTCCCTGGTCCCAATAAACCACGTCCTGGTTCAGGCATTGGTTCAGGCACCACTTCAGGACCAAGGACAGTGCCCAGCGCCCGTGGTCGGCATTAAAATCCAAAGAAACGCAGTCTCCTCACCCCTCTACCCTGTGCCAGGAGGAGGCTGGAAGGGAAGGAAGAGGGGGTGACGCAGATAATTTGTGTTTATGAAACATTTTTCTTCCCCTACCAACCAACCTCCTTTTAAAGAAGGTTCTTCTATCAGTGTACCCACTCCTTTTACTATTCCCTGTTCTGCAGCTCCCTTCTTCCCAAAGTACTTCCACATCCACTTCCCAGGAGCCCAGGTGACAGCTTCCCTCGCCCCCAAATACTAGGATAAGTCCAATAGGATAGGGCCCTTTAAGCTTGGTCCTACAGCACCCAGTGAGGGCCCCGTCTGACTACTAGCCCTCTAAATTCACAGCCCAGCCCATCAGGGGGCCATAATGAGGTTAAATGGTTTAACTCAGGGAAGTTAAATGGCTTTCCCAAAAATACACAGTGAATAAGTGGAAGAGACATATATATATACACATATATACATCCTTGTATATGTATGTGTATGTACAATTTCCCCTTCCTTTAGAGGTGGGATTTGAACCCAGACAAGCTGCAGAAAAATTGGGAGTTTTAACAACAAGCACACAGTTCAAGTTCTGTGCAGGTGCCAAATGTATAGGGACAGGTGAGGGTTGGGGGTCAAGAGACTCAGAATAAAGTCCTCTCTCTGAACTGATGTTCCTGAGCAAGCCCTTTCCTTCCCTGTCCCTAGAAAGTGAGGGTGTTGGATTAGATGACTGCTTAAGCACATCTTGGTTCTGATATTCTCAGAATTTATGAGTTAGATTGCACAAAATACAGATGAAGGATCTTGAAGACAAATAGATATGAGTTCAAATCCCATCTATGCCTCTCCCAGCTGTAGAACCCTGGGTTTGTCTTATAACCTCTCTGAGCTTTGGCGTTTTCATTGGGAAAAGGAACAACTGCAGTGCCAGCTGCCCAAGTGGATGATTAGGACCCATCTGAGAGGCTCAGTGATCAGCTCAGAAAAACACGGTTGAACTTATGCCATGTTCTAGGCTAACTAAGCTGGGCTCTGTAGTGGACACAAAGTCACAAGAACTGTGGTCGTTGTGGCACTCACTGGGCAAGGGCTTCATGGCTGGCTGGATCTCTAAGTCTTTGGGGCTAACACCATCTGTGGAGGACATCATCTGTGGAGGACATCATTTGTGGAGGTCAGGAAGACAGGAAACTTTCACCTCTGCCTGGAGTGTGGAATCTTTCCTGCCTGCTCTCTAGCCTCCAGGTTTTCTCCCTTGGACCTCTCCCCCCCACAGCAGTCAGAGTGAGTTTTCTAAAACCCATGTGTGACCAGGTCACTCCCCCTCCCAAAGACTTTTGATGACTCCTTATTACCATCAAGATAAATGCCTTGAGATGGCTCAAAAGGCTTCCAGGAAATTTTTCTCTATCCCCTTGAACCCTCCGCCTCAGCCACTTGAAGTGGCTTCACTTCAGTACGGCTGAGGCAGGGGCAGGTCCCCAACTACATCAGCTGTCAGACATCTCCAAGTCTTTTCATACATCTATGCCTAGAATGCAAGCTCCCCTTCTCTTTTCCTTATTTTACCATTTTTTATTTTTAATTACAGTTGACGTACATTCTTAGTTGCAGGTGTTCATCCCAGTGATTAGACATTACATAACTTACTGAGTGATCATCCCAGTAATTCTCTCACCCATCTGGCACCATACATAGTTATTAGAATATTATTGACTATATTCTCTATGCTGTACTTTACATCCCCGTGGCTATTCTGTAGCAACCAAATTGTACTTCTTACTCCCTTCACCTTTTTCACCCATCCTCCCAACCTCCCTCTCATCTGGCAACCATCAAAACATACCTATGAGTCTTGTTTCTATTGTGCTTGTTCATTTATTTTGGTTTTTAGATTCAGTTGTTGATCTCTGTGTAGTTATTGCCATTTACTTGTTTGTAATTTTGATCTTTATTTTTCTTCTTCTTCTTAAAGAAGACCCTTTAACATTTCATATCATAGTGGTTTGGTGACGATGAACTCCTTTAGCTTTTTCTTGTCAGGGAAGGTCTTTATCTGTCCTTTGATTTTAAATGGGTAGAGTAATCTTGGTCGTAGGCCCTTGCTTTTCATCACTTTGAATATTTCTTGCCATTCCCTTCTGGCCTGCAAAGTTTCTGTTGAGAAATCAGCTGACAGTTTTATGGGAGCTCCTTTGTAGGTAACTAACTGCTTTTCTCTTGCTGCTTTTTTTTTTTTTTTAATTGATTTTAGAGAGAAATAGGAAGGGAGAAAGAAAGAAACATCGATTTGTTGTTCCACTTATTTATATGCATTCATTGGTTGCTTCTTGTATGTGCTCCGACCACCTTCCCACTGAGATCCCTCAGTCTGTTCCATGCTTCCATGTCTCTGGATCTATTTTGTTCACCATCTTTTTTCTTTTTGCTCTTCTGATTTGGTGTTTTTTGCTTCCTTATATTCCAAATCACTGATTTGATCCTCGGCTTCATCTACTCTACTGTTGATTCCCTGTAAATTATTCTTCATTTCAGATAGTGTATCCTTAATTTCTGATTGGTCCTTTTTTATGCTGTTGAGGTTCTCACTAAGTTTGTTGAGCATCCTTATAACCAGTGTTTTGAACTCTGCATCTAGTAGATTGTTTGCCTTGATTTTGTTTAGCTCTTTTTCTGGAGTTTTGTTGTTCTTTCACTTGGGACATGTTCCTTTGTCTCTTCATTTTGGCCACCTCCCTGTGTTTGTTTCTATGTATTAGGTAGAGTAAGCCTCATAGAGTAGCCTAATGTAGTAGGTGTCCTGTAGGGTCCAGCTGCACAGCCTCCCCAACCACCCAAGCTGGGCACTAGATGTGCCCCCAGTACGGGCCGTGTACAACCTCTTCTTGTAGTTGCGCCTTGGTTGCTGTTGGCATGTCAATGGGAGGAATTTACTCCCAGGCTGATCAGCTGCAAGGACTGGCTTCGACCACTGACCACTGACTTCCAACCACCGTGGAGGATCAGCTGTGCAGGGCCCACCCCACAGAGCAGGACTAACTTCAGCAGGGCTCTAGTTCCCCCTGAGTCTGCCCCTTGAGTATGTTGCTTGTGGAGGTGGTGGGGTAATAGTGCTTCAACGTGGTCTGAAGCTGTCCACTGGGCATGCAAGCTCTGGGGCCTCGGGGGAGGTGTAGGCCAAGGTCAGCCACCACCTGTGTTCTGCCCTGGGCCACCTGGCATGAGCTACAAGGCAATCTGCGTATGGCTGCTACTTGTGCTGGGCTTGGAGGTGCTCCAGCGAGGCCAAGCTCTGAACCAAGGCTGGCTGCTGCTAGTGCTGGGTCTAGGGCCACTTAGGGAGAGCTATGGGGCTCACTGAAGCCAGATGCTGTTTGTTTGAGAGATTTTAGGAAAGTCTGAAACGTGAGCCAAGACAGGCCACTCATATGGAAAAGCCACTGGAAACAGATTGGGAGGTGGGGCCTGAAAGTTGCTTGGGGCAAGGCCTCAGGGAATCAGCTGGGCAGGAGAACAGTGATAGCCAGGTTGATGGAGTCTCACATATGGCTCCCGCCTAATGGCTTTGTGAGGGGAGGGCTCATCAAAGGAATATTGACCTCTGCCAGCACTTCTGTCTGGGAGAAATCTGTCCCCCCACTCACCCCCCAGCTCTGGCCCTGCTGCTGGACAATTCAGTTTGTCTCTGGTGCCTTTCAAGCTGCTACCCCCATGCTGGAGCTCAGAGGGAGTGAGTCTGTGTGCAGGCCCTTTAACAGGAACTGCCTGGGACTCCAGCGGCCCCTGTCTCCCTCGGCCTCAATCCCCACTAGTTTTTACAGCTAGAAATTATGGGGACTTCTCTTCCCGCCACTGGGACCCTGGGCTGGGGGTCCTGGCGTGGAGCTGGGACCCCTCGCTCCTCAGAGGGGACCTCTGCAACTGAGACATTCCTCCCAGTTTTTATCCACTACCCATGGGTGTGGGACCAGCTCGTTCCTGTCTCTGCCCCTCCTACCAGTCTCAATGAGGAGTCGTCTTTAATTCCCTCGTTGTAGGATTTCCATTCAGCTTGATTTCAGGCAGTTCTGAATGATGGTTGTTCTGTAGTTTAGTTGTAATTTTGTGGGAGGAGGCGAGTACCATGTTTTCCTTCTCCTCCAACTTGACCAGATGTTCCCCTTGTCTTGACTAATGTCCCCCCCATCTTTCTGACTTAATCCCATGGGCAACCACTCAATATATAGTGCATATCTTTCTGTGTTCTGGTAAAATCTTTGTTCTAGTTTTGTGAATATATTTTTAATTTACACAAATTGTGCTGTGTTATATAGCACATTCTATTTCTTACTTTCCCCTACTCAGTGTTATGTTAAGATCCTTCACGCTATGTTACTATCTGCTCAGTTACTTGTAACTGCTCCATAGTCCTCCAGACTGGATACCTGCCCATGTCGTCCCTTCACTCTCCCAGGCTTGACACTGGCTGTCCCCAGTTTCCCCCACCACAAATAACACTGCAGAGAATTACCTTGGCTATGCCCTTTTGTGGATCTGTGTTACAATCTCTTTGGAATATAAACCCAAGAGCCCTAATTTCTGGCTCATAGGATGTGTGCCACCTTAATTTCATCCATTCATCCCAGTCTGCCCTCCAAATGGACTGCCCCAGCCAGTACCTCCACCCACAGAGCTCCAGGGTGTTCATGGCCCCACACTTCACCAATCTTTTGTGCTACCCAGCTTCTACTTTTTGCCTAATAGGTGTAAAGTCATTGCTGTTTTAATTCTCACTTCTCTGATTACTAATGCATTAGAGCATCTCTTTGTTAACATTTTGGATTTCCTCTTCTGTAAATTGCTCATTTATGTCCTTTGCCCATTTCCTGTTGAATTTGCTGCTTTTTTTCTTGTGGATTCGAATATTTATTTATATATTCTATATATGAATCCCTTGTTGGTTTTATATTTTTCCTTGCTGGTTTTAGACATTGCAAATATCTCTGGTCTTATTTCTATTCCTCAAACATGCCAAGCTCATCAGCCCTCAGGCTTTTGTCCTGACTCTTCTCTCTGCCTGTTATGTTCTCCCAGATACTTATAGGCAGGGCTCTCTGGACATTTAACCCTCAGGTGGCACCTCCCCAGACATATCCCTGCACCCAGGCACTCTCGATTACATCACCTGGTTTTGCTATCATTATGGTGATAACACTATTATACTGTGAATTCATTGTTTACTTGCTTATTGTTTGTCTCCATATTAGCTGAGTCACTCTCAGTCACTAACTTCAGCCACTAGCACAATGCCTGGCACACGGTAGGTTCTCAATAAATGTCTGTTGAATGAAGGAATAAATACACCCCAGTCACGCAGCATGAAGTGGAGAGAAAATTGACAGCAAGGCTACGAGCTATGTGCTTTGCAAGTGACACTTCAAATGATGATGAGAAGTTAACATTTATTGTTTCCTATGTGCCAGGCACTGTGGCAAGCATTTTACATGGATTAACACATTCATTCTCATCATAAACCTATAGAGTAGTGTGTTTTTTAAAATCCTGTTTATGAGATGAGGAAACTAAGGTAGAAAGATAAAGGAACGTACCCAAGGTCCCGCAGCTAGAAAAAGGCAAAGAATTTGAAACCAGGATCGAGGGGGTCTGCCCCAGAGTTAGGTTACTTATCCAGGACACATACTGCTTCTCCAGCGCAGGGTGTAGGGAAGGAAATGGGTGTGGCCAGGAGGAAACACCCTCATAATCAGAGAAGCTTGGTGCTCCCCGGCAAGAGGTGGGGAGGGAGGCAGGGAGAATATTGTGCACCCTCATGTCTTTATGACACTAGTGAGGCCCACAGACTCAGCAGGCCCGGCGACGCCGCCGTCTCCCTCCACTTTCTCTCGGCAGGGACCGGGTGGCGCGCATCGGGCTGGGCGTCATCCTGAACCTGGCAAAGGAACGCGAGCCGGTGGAGCTGGCTCGGAGCGTGGCAGGCATCTTGGAGCACATGTTCAAGCACTCGGAGGAGACGTGCCAGCGGCTGGTGGCGGCCGGCGGCTTGGACGCGGTGCTGTACTGGTGCCGCCTCACGGACCCGGCGCTGCTGCGCCACTGCGCGCTGGCGCTGGGCAACTGCGCGCTGCACGGGGGCCAGGCGGCGCAGCGCCGCATGGTGGAGAAGCGCGCGGCCGAGTGGCTCTTCCCGCTCGCCTTCTCCAAAGAGGACGAGCTGCTGCGGCTGCACGCCTGCCTCGCCGTGGCGGTGCTGGCCACCAACAAGGAGGTGGAGCGCGAGGTGGAGCGCTCCGGCACGCTGGCGCTCGTGGAGCCGCTCGTGGCCTCCCTGGACCCCGTCCAATTCGCCCGCTGCCTGCTGGACGCCAGCGACACGAGCCAGGGCCGCGGGCCCGACGACCTGCAGCGCCTAGTGCCCCTGCTTGACTCCTCACGTTTGGAGGCACAGTGCATCGGGGCTTTCTATCTGTGTGCTGAAGCTGCCATCAAGAGTCTGCAGGGCAAGACC